TGTTCTTGAGAAGTACCGGTAGATTTTTAAAGATATTTCCGATGTAATGGCATGATCAGGTTCTTACAAGGGATATACAGGTTTTCCCTTTCCTCTGTCTGTATTACTGATTGGAATGATTATTTAGACTGCTCTGTCTGAGGGTTATCACACAGTACTAAATTTTTTCTCTTATCTAGAGATGGGGACTAAGTACTATACTACTTGCACTGTGTTTCTCCCTTATGTTCCTATTGATAGATAAGAACAGAGTATCTCAATCTTTTTCAGATTAAATTCAGCCAAAACTTAATATAAATTCACTAGGATACTTGCCACTGGCGCATATAACTTTTATACTTTTATTTTTTTCTTACCTTTAACTTCTTTATTGCTGATTAAAGGGCCAACATCCTTCCCTATCTTAATACCCGACTTTCCCAAAGATTTGCCTTATATGCCATTTGACTAGTCCATTCCAAGGGTTGTCAGGTCATTCCACTATTTGAATTCTTCAATGCGTTTTACGCAAATGCCCCTTAACCATTACACCTATATTTTTCTCTGTTAAAGTTTCACTATCTGTTGTGGCTCCGCCCTATCTCAGAATATCATGATTTGAACAAACTTTAATCTATACTACCTGTTGAAACTTCTGTATTAATGTGACGAATAATGGCTTAGCTGTTCTTGAGAAGAAAATATTTCCTAGATATTCCTATGGTAAACTTTGTTGTGGCCCCGCCCTACCCCCATGATTGGAACAGATTTGAATCAACAAAACCTGAGAATACTTCTATAATGATATGACTAATCATGGCTTTGCTGTTCTCGAGAAGAAGATTTTTAAAGACATTTCCTATATATTCCTTTTTAAAACTTCTACCCCTTCTTGTGACTCCGCCCTATCCCTGGGGGAAATGATGTGAATAAACATGAATCTAGAGTAAGAAATAAAGGTTTCACTCAAGTCTCATCTTTTTTTCTTACCCAGTAGTAGTTGAGGTAGTTGAGAAGAAGATTTTTCAAAAATGCCACCAAAGTTTCGCGAATGCTTAATTACTAGTATCTCCCCTTGAAAGAGGGGGTGGCACTTTCTGTAAACAAACTTAAATCCCCTTTACCCAAGGATATTTTGACGCAAGTTTGATTGAAAATGGCCCTGTGGTTCTTGAGAAGATGCCAAATATGTGAAAAGTTTACAGACGACACTACAGACGACGGACGACAGACGGACGCCGAACACTCTTTGATCAGAAAAGCTCACTTGAACCTTCGGCTCAGGTGAGCTTATAAGTTAACAATCGAAAACAAAAAAAAAATTCACAGACCAAACCAAAAAAAAAAAAAGAAATCAAAGAAAGAAATTAAAACAGACCGTTGTTAATCTTTCAAAATTTACATTTATGTCATTTAGGATGATTTGTCTATTCGTAAAATGTTAATAAATGATCCATGTGATCCATCCAACTTAAAATTATTTCATCATGCCGTTGGAATTGATATTCAAGCTACATGTAGCTTTTGCAACTATATCCCGAAAAAAATGTGTAGTATGGAATTGTTTTATTATTTCAAATAAAAGACATGATACACCACTAAAATTTAGGTCTTGTTGAAATATGAAGAAAAGCAAACAGCAACAAAACTTAAATAAATGTAATTAGAGAGCATCAAGACACCAAAAGTGTGATCGAGTGCAACGGAGGAGAAGGCATCCCTTCCGTGAGCCATTTTCTTCATAAAATAAATTAATTATCACTAAACAAACCAGAATGAAAACACCGGTCTTACAATCCCTACGACAAAAATGTCTGTCAGCATTCAACCCAACGACATATGTATTTGCATTGTAAGAACTACAGTTTGTTCCAATGTTGGCTTTTAACAAGAATGTTGATAATTCTGTTATATCATCTTATTTGTTAGCAGCCTACGTCGATTTAGAATATAAATCACACTCTTGCTTATCGAATCAACAAAGGAGACATAAATACCGTATACACGAGAAAAAGTTATATTGCTGCATAAATAATGGATTAATTGATTGATTGATTGTATGTTGTTTTATCCCATTCGAGAATTTTTCACTCACATAGAAACTTCACCATACATAAATAATGGAAATTAACGATAGACAAGAGGCCCAAGGGCCTTAACGGTCACCTGAGTATAATACAATTTAGAGGATACAAAGACTATAAAATGAACTGAAAGGTGAGGTTTTGTTGCCCAAAAGCAAGAAAAATAGGATGATCAGGATCAACAAAATGATTAGTCTTAATATTCTTTAACAGTTCATAAAATAGGTTCTAACCTGTTCCCCATTTATCACTATCACGATACAGTATATTAACAAATTTACAATGCTTCTGTACTAATTTTTAATCCCTTGTTGAGATCTCTTACATTGGCCTCTCTCTGTGTTTGATGAACATATAATAAGACAAGTTATTTTTGTCTCATTTTTATTTATCTACCACTTACAAGTCTACCTGATCATTAAAACTATGAAAGTACTTTTTGTATTATACAATAAAAATTATTGCATAATTCTCTTATTCCATTTACCTTTCAAGTACATTATTTATAGTGATTAATTAGCAAATGTAAATGGCAAAGGGAATAACTCCTCTCAGTCGAATGCAAATTAATAGAGCCTTGGCCAGGACCAGAACACTTGACTAAATGGTTCAGATGTTCAAAAATCTGGTAAAAATACCCTTCCTTATAAAAACTTTTACTCTGTTTGCCTCAGATATGCCCAGGTGTAGAGAAGATTTTTAAGGAAATAATGCATTTTTACTAAAGATTCACTATATTATCAATAGAGCCCCCCCCCACCCCCCACCCCCGAGAAACAGCAGATCCTTTGACCCTGGGACCATAAGTTTGCTCATCATAACTAATCACTTTGTTTATCTGCTTAACACTAAGGAGCAAACAGGATTATTTAATAGAATTAATGCATTTTCATTATATTATCAAGAGCCCCACCCTTACACCAGCACATCTGACCCAGGGGTCATAAAATTCACTACTCTGGAAGAAGCACTAATGCTCATTATAACTATACACTTAGCTTCTTTGTTTTTTAACCAGAAGAAGAAAAGAATATTTTCAAAGAAATTTTGCTTTTTCACTTTATAATCAATAGAAGCCCCCACCCCCCACCCCCATCTCACCAGAAACCTTGAACCTGGGGTCATGAAATTCAAAATTTTGGAAGAGGCATCCTTGCGTATCATAACAATGTATTTAGTTTGTTTATACAGTAAAACTTGTCTAATCCGCCGACCAGTGGTTCCAAAATTTTTGGCCGGATTAGACAACATCCGGATTGGAGAAAATGAAACCGTTATAGCAAGTTTAAAATTACATAGATATGAACATAGAGTGGAAATACACTCTTTCACTTGCAAAAATCGTCTATTTCGTTTTTTTTTTTAACTCTGTTCTTCAGAATTTTCATTTCTGTTTAATATTTTTATTCAGTATCGAAATATAATATCTCTTGGTCATTTATCAAATTTGAAAATCACTAAATGTTTTAAACACACTCCAAAACCTCATCGTAGCTGTAAATATTATTTTGTTAGGGACAGATTACTAATTAATTTCTTTCTTTTAAAATTAATATGTTTGAATATTTAGATACTGTATTTGTTAATTTCAAATGTTATAATGAATATATTGGACCTAAATCTTCTGTCGTTATGGTCATTCTAAACTAGCGACACAAAGGGGAGTAATTCGAATTGCATACAAAAGGAAAGTAGAAAGGAGGTCATGAATATATGTCTCCAAGTTTTTCTACAGACATTCTACGCGCAACCATCACTATCACTCGTTCTTTTGCGAGCTTCCTCGCCTTTTTATCACGTTTGTTAAAATCTAAACTGTCAATACAGGATAGATCATTACGGGACAATAATTACCCCCACGCGAGACTTCTCTAATGACCAGCGGGCATATGTAAAAATAAGTGGCCGGATTAGAGGAGATAATTTGTACTAATTATGAGCAGTTAGTTCTTTAAATAGCAGCCGGTTTACAGAATAGGAAAAATCCGGATTGAAGAACATTTATTAAACATAAATTATAAAGAAAATTCAAGGGACTAAAATATTACGCCGGACTGAACAACATGCCGGAATGCACAACATCCGGATTGAACAAGTTTTACTGTATAATACACAGGGGCATGGAAGAAGATTTTCAAAGAAATAATTCACCTTCACTATAGGATCTATATAGCCCCGCCCTAGCACCAGAACCCCTGACCCTGGGGCCATGAATTTTACAATTTTGGTAAAGGGTTCAATGCTTATTACAATCATGCCAACAGTTTGACTGCTTGATGTCCAGTAATAAAGAAGAAGATTTTTAAAGATTGCATTAATTTTGATGGTTTTGACCCCACCCCTCAGGCCCCAGGGGGGCAGGGGCCACGAATTTCACAATTTTTGTTCCCCTTCACCCATAGATGCTATATGCCAAAATTAGTTGAAATTGGTTCACTGGTTCCAGAGAAGAATCTTAAAATGTTCAAAAGTTTACGACCGACGAACGACGCACGCCGCACGACGACGGACGAAAAAAGATAGCAATAGGTCACCTGAGTAACTCAGGTGACCTAAAAAAACTGAAGTCAATTCGTTTATTATAAACTTTATCTGTTAGTAAGCCATTTATGCATATCTAGTTGAATGCCTGTATCAAATCGTTTATTATAAATTTTATCTGTTAGTGTGCCATTTATGTACATCTAGTTGAATGCTTGGATCAAAATATGAAATAGATGTGTCTGATGAATTTTTTTTCCCTTCTATTTTGGGTTTGATGGAATATATTAAATCAATTTCTGATTGAAAATGAATATTGTTAATGTCGTATTAAAGACCTGGTCAAGAGATTTCTTCTTTTTAAGTGAAAGCTATAGAATGATTCTTATACATAATAATACAGAAAAAGCTCGGCTATAGAGGGACACAATTAGTATCCATAGAAATTCCAACAGAATGTGGGAGGAAAACATGGATTCTATCAGTAAACTCCCACTCTAGAAAGTTATCTTTGCAAGGAACAAGGAATTAAAGTGTACTTAATAATCTAGAGTGATGAGGCAAAATCATTAGCCTGGAGAAATCAAATTTTCTTATTTTAATATCATATGTATTTTCTATTAAAAAAATTGCAGACAAAATCATACTTTTGTTTTATAGTTGCAGTAAATAAACCAGCAAGTATAATATCAATATATAACCCTATATACCAGAACGCATCAGACGCTGTGGACAATGTAACTGTTTGTGACAACGGCCTGTCTACTGCTCACACTAACAACGAAATCAATCCATGGATAAAAATAGACTTGCAGAACATGTTTGATGTTCTTGAAGTTCTTGTCTACAACAGGCAAGACACATATGGTAAGTATTTTAGATATCTAATGAACAAATGATTATTTCGATTCTATGATATAATTATGTATAAGTCAATTCGTACAGTCCAGCTAAATTAATATTGACTTTATGACAACTCTATATACTGCTTACTGGATATATCAGTGATTTTATGTACTCAGAATGATCTGATGTAAAACTCAATAGACAGAAATTTAAAGTAAATGACACAAGTTGAATAACTAGTATTTTAAAGTATTCTTAACATTATATGAGAACTAGATAAAGTAATTGAAAGCATTATTTGCATGTGTTTTTCCAATGAAAGCTAACAACATTGATTTCCATTAACTGTCTTGACATTTTTTTTCTGTAGTGATTCTGCATGTACTCTATGAAAATGAACTAGATAACTTCAGTATAGCCTGTTTTATAGGATACAATTTTCCCAAGGTCCATAAAACATATAAAATCATTTTTCATTGGTTTCTTGTTTAGAGCTTCTTTAATTTAGTTGTCACTTTCTAAGGACCTATATTTGAGCATGGAATGTTAAGAAATATATATTGTTTTTCTGTCTTATGCATCGGTATTATTCTTGACAACTATAGTAATTTATTCCTCTATTTGAAAAGAAATACATTCATTAGAATGCATTGCAATACGCCTTTTTCAATGTCTTGATTTCTGTTCATTGAAAAGGACCATTCTCTTTAAGGCCGTTCGGGGCCTACAATGACTTCAGAATTTCAAGTTAAATTGTATCCCTTAAAAACTGCATGAAACTTCGGGCTAATGATCCAATTTGATGATAAATGTTGTTTGGTAAGACGCTACAGTATTCGTTATGATACAGGTCATAAAGAGATGTACTATATCCGTATTCGCACTATATAGGATAATGGTAAAACTCAAGAGGATGGGAGCGTTTGGTTACTCCTACACATATCATAATCACCTTTAACTAACAACAAAATTTGCATTTGACCTTCATGAAAACATAAAAAAGTGACTACCAGCTTATAAACTTGGCTAAAGGTGGTTATGACATCTAAATTAAAACTTTACTCTATTTTAACGATAGTTTAAAGAAAAGCCTTTTTACTTAAAATTAAGGCTATCAGTTTTTGTAGATTATTTCATGTAATAAATTTTAGTAGGAGTAAAATTTCTTCTTGATATAACACGAATCAGTCTACTCCTTGCATTTTTACACGAAAATGTTTACTTTTACGCTGAAAATTCTGAAATCAAAGGACTGAAATGTTTGGTCTACTCCCGAATGATAGTGTTTTAATGAACGTCCTTAAAAATTCCATGATAGGATTTCCCGCCCCAACCTTTCAAAGGGGTGTTCCTATTTTCTTCGTATAAGCGATACTTTAGCCTTCTATGTTAAGGCTGAGTTTGTTCAGATAACTCTATCTATCAGGGTTTATATATAGCATTTACGTATAATTGTTTTAATAGCATTTGCTATTGATTAAATATAGTACTATATTATACTTTCTTGTAAATTAGTTGAATCTGATTCGTCGAGAAACATTTATTAAAAAACACTATTACCCGCTGAATGATGAAGCCACGCCCTACAGCGTAGCAACAGTCAACATTGCTTGACGACGGGTGATATTCCAAAAATTAGTGACCGCGCAGAATTTATGCGCGCACGGTTCACTGTTATACGTTTTGTAAAAATCATTCAGTATAATATAATAAATATTGCATGTAGTTGAGTGAAACATTGAAAATTTTCACCCCAAGAAAACCATTGTCACCGAGGCGCCCCCAACAAAAAAATACTATAGTAAACTATAGTTAACTATAGTTTACTATAGTTAACTATAGTAAATCAAAGTTCCAAAGTTTTTACGGTAGTAAATCAAAGTTCCAAAGTTTTCACTATAGTAAATCAAAGTTCCAAATTTTTCACTATAGTAAATCAAAGTTCCAAAGTTTTCACTATAGTAAATCAAAGCTTCAAAGTTTTTACTATAGTAAATCAAAGTTTCAAAGTTTTTGCTATAGTAAATCAAAGTTTCAGTTTTTTTATTAGTTTAACAACTTTTGTATTTTTATTTATTTATTTATTTATTTATTTTTTGATTATTTAGCCGTTTTAGGGGTGGGGGTGGATATGGGGTTGGTTTGGGCTGGTTTTTGTCGTATATCTTTATTTAAACATACAAAGTAGTTAATTCAAATGCAATATTTACATTTATGAATTTAAAAAAAAATACACTTTGACGGAAGTTGATGAAGCAGATATTTTGATTCTAAATGACAATTTTTTAATAATATATTTTTTTTTCAAAAGAAAAGAAATACTTACGTTACATCTGCATAACATTAAAATTAAATACATTGAAATAAATATTGTTCTTTTATCGGCTCAAGCGACAACCTTTACATTAAAATTCATATCTTGTACATTATTCTTTTAGGGGAGTAGTCGATTTTTTAAAATGTTTTCTAAGGCTTTATGAATCTAAAACTTGAAATATCATAAAATGTAAAGAATGGGAATCAAAAACATAATTCCATGGGATTTATCGTACTTAATCAAAGTTTTTACAATAGTAAATCAAAGTTCCAAAGTTTTTACCGTAGTAAATCAAAGTTCCAAAGTTTTCACTATAGTAAATCAAAGTTCCAAAGTTTTTACTATAGTAACTCAAAGTTCCAAAGTTTTTACTATAGTAACTCAAAGTTCCAAAGTTTTTACTTTGGTACTATAGTTAACTATAGTAAACTATAGTTAACTATAGTTTACCATAGTATTTTTTTGTTAGGGAGGTTGACAATGGTTTTCTTGGGGTGAAAATTTTCAATGTTACACTCAACTACATGCAATATTTATATAATAAGACATGTGTACGATATAAATGAAAATATAAATGTTCTTTACACTTAAATGCACTTAAATGCACTTTAAAACATTTCTACCTAATTTGGATATAATTTGACGTCAATATGACGTCAAATAAAAATGTCATGGCAGACTTCCACGAACTTTCCGAACAACCCTCGTAATTAAAATAAAAGCAAAGTATTTTTATAATGTTCTTTCATTTCTATGCATGTACAAATATTTATTTAATGCAAATGTTTAGAATTTTTCTACACATAGTGCTCAAATAATTAGTCAATAGGTAACTCTATTCATATTTTCAGTGTTAATGGGTTCTTCATTTATTGTAAATATAAAATTTGTTGAATTTTTTTTTTACACCATATTGTTTATTCAGTCACAAACAAGACTTCTTTAATGAGTTCATTAAGCAAAATACATGACAATTAGCATAATGAATACAGTGTTTTTTTGTAAGATTTACATTCAAAATATTCATCAAGTAAATGAAGCATAACTTTTTTTCATGAAAATTAATTTAATCCTCAAGTGACACATTTTGAACGCATGTTATTTTAGAAATGATATGTAACTTGCATATATCGCTTTTAACTAACACTTCAAGGAACATCCATATAAACTTGGTTTAAATAAAACCACCCTCAATTTCTCTTTATTTAATCGATTAAAAAAAAGGAACTAAATCTACATAAATTAAATTTATTTCATCGTAGGTCGTAAAACGGCCTTATAGAGAATAAAATTTAGGAAAATCTGCAGCAAGTATCTGCATCAGCATATATCCAGTAATGTTACACCTTTACTTAAAAAAATCTGTTTATAATTATACATTAAAAGGTTTTTTTTTTTAAATATCAGCATTTTTAACATTAACATTTGAATACTGTGAATGTATTTTTTCACGGGGTCACAATTACACGAAATCATAATTTCCGTTTATTCCACAGGTAGAAAATTACGCAGATTTCTTAGATTGTCACTAGATTGCCACTTCACTGGGAAAAAGTACTAATGCATCACAATAAAAAACTTAATAATTACCTTTTCAAAACTTGTTTATGATAAATTTTACAGGATGAAACTGCACCATTCAGTCAACTGAATGGTCACTGAAAGTTTGCCATTCAGTCACCATGCAGTAGACATTATCCTGTGTTTGATGTATAGATATATTACGATTGCTTAAAGGAAGGCTTTTAAATGCCAAAACTGGTTGAAGAATTGTCCTCTATGAGTGCCCACGGCATTCAATATATTCGGTTACAGTTACTGCAAGATTGCCCCGTAAATCTGTGGTAATCGGAAGTGCGATTGACTGGATAATGCTAAAGCACTTTGTTACTTCTATGCATTATGATAGATAAAGAACTCTTTATCATTACAGTAACAGGGATAGCATTGCTGTTCCAACCTCATTGACCGTCATCCGTATAACTACCAAATTTATGTCAGTGCAAAAAAGTGTGTAATCGGCTTTGATTTTTTCTTTTTTTTCTTTTTTTTTTTGCAAGCAAGAAATCCATTTTATAGCGTGTTGACATCTTGACAACAGCAAATCCGATTGCATTCGCCAATATGGAATATTAGATTTACTCGTGTCGACTAGGCTTATGTTCTTTTTGCATATGATAATACTGAGTGGTGCGTTAGCAATTTTGTCTAGTGTATATGCCTAAAATGTACTTTAAGTATGTTGGAGCAAATTTCTGCGGATATTTGTGCCAGCGTACATAGCGTATATTAATTCAGTATGTTATCAAGTCGATGCTTTTTATCAGGGAAAAGACTGCATGACCTACTCATAAACGTGGATGAAAACTATTGTGGTTTCTTCAAAGGACCCGCCGCTAATGGAGACCGTATACTTTTTCTCTGTTCGTCTGGAAGTAGAGGGAGGATCGTCACACTCATGATCAAAAGCAAAGAGGGAGAAGAAGACATTTTAAGTGTGTGCGAAGTACAAATATTTGTCATTTTATAAGAATCCATGTAAGATTCATTCGGCTTAAATATCTAGGTATGCACTAGAATTATTTTGAGAGTAAACAGATTATTTCATGAATTTGTAAAGTACAGGTTTATTTAAATCTGTGAGATTTAGTTTAAAAAATGATCATAGTGATTATTTTATCTTTAATGAATATAATATTTTTTTTTTTTTTTTACATTTTTGTATATATGTAAATTATAACCTTTTACATAGGCTTTGTTTTATTCATATTTATATAAGAAAACAATGCTTTTTAGCTCACCTGAGCTGAAAGCGCAAGTGAACTTTTCTGATCAAAGAATGCCCGGCGTCTGTCTGTGGTCTGTTGTCAGTCGTCTGTAAATGTTTCACATTTTCGACTTTTTCTCAAGAACCACTGAGCCAATTTCTACCAAACTTGCCTCAAGTTTGCATCATTCGGTGAAGAGGATTTAAGTTCATTCACAGGAAGTGCTGTGCCCTCTTACAAGGGGAGATAATTAAAAATTTGGTGGCATCTTTTAAAAATCTTCTTTTCAAGAACCACTGGGCAAGAAAAGATAAAATTTCTGTGAAAGCTTCATTACATACTCTATTTTTTTTTTCATATCATAACCCTTGGGGGTAGGGCGGGACCACAAGAGGGGGTCAAAGTTTTACATAGGAATATATAAGAAATGTCTTTACTAAATCTTGTTCTCAAGAACAGCAAAGCAATGATTAGTCATAGTATAATAGAAGTATCCTCAGTTAGTGTAAATTCAAGATTATTCCAATCATGACCCCTTGGTTAAGGGCAGGGACACTCTAGGGGGTCAAAGTTTACCATTAGGATATATAGGATATATCTTTAAAAATCTTCTTCTCAAGAACAGCTAAGCCATTATTAGTCATATTAATACAGAAGTATCCTCAGGTTTTGTAGATTCAAGTTTGTTCAAATCATGACCCTCGGGGGTAGGGCGGGGCCAAAACAGTAGGTAAGACATTTACATACATAGGAACATATAGGTGTAATGGTTAACGGGCATTTGAGTAAAACGCATTGAAGACTTCAAATAGTGGAATGACCTTACAACCCTTGGAATGGACTAGCCAAACCAAAGGGTATATAAAGCAAAGCTTTAGGAAAGTCAGGCATTCAGAAGCTAGCTGAAGAAGTTTGATGTTGAATCAGCAATAAAAAAGTTAATGTATTCCATCCCTAATAGCAACAGGTTCAATGAAATTGAATACATAACAGATATGTAGGTGTTGAATACTCAGTATATTTAGACATAATTTCCATTTATTACTATTAGCATGTAAGGGTGGGATGTGTCCTAAGTTATGACCTTGAATGTTGGTAAGAGTAATCTTCCTCTGTTTTTAATAATTAAAAAATTCTAATGTTTTAATGCATCTTTCGAACACAGTATTTATTGATATTCTTCTTATTTGAATTTTTATTTTTAAAAAATCGCTTGTCCCCATAGACTACAATGCAATCTTTGTTATTTAATTAATGCTTATTAATTGCATTTTTGAAACTTTCTCTTGGTAAATCCTTTTGTACTGAAAACTGCTTTAAATTAATATCAGAGTATTATGTACGTGATGGACATTTAAGGATAGAGAATGTGATCCTATAAGGAATGGAAAACCTTAATGGTAAGAGCAAAATAAAAGTACAAAAGCTATAAACACCAGTGGCAAGTATCCTAAGGAATTGATGTTTCTGTGTGAAGTAAATCTGAAGAAGGTTGAGATACCCGGTTCTTATCCATCAATGGGAACCTAGGGGAGAACCACGGTGCAAGTATCGTACCATACCCAGTCCCCGTCTCTTGATAAGAAAAATTAAGTACTGTTTGATATACCCTCAGACAGAGTAAAAGGAAAACCTAAATATGCCCTGTAAGGACCTGATCATACACGTTACATAGGAAATATCTTTAAAATCTTCTTCTCAAGAACAACAAGCCACTATTAGTCATAATTATTCAGAAGCTACCTTAGGTATTTTAGAACCAAGTCTGTTCAAATCATGACCCCAAGGGGTTGGGAGCACAACAGAGGGTCAAAGTTTTGCATAAGAATTTATAGGAATCATCTTGAAAAAATCTTCAGCTCAAGAACAGCAAAGCCATGATTAGTCATATTATTATAGAAGCCTCCTCAGGTAGCATAGATTCAAATTTGTTCAAAATTAGGGTGGGTAAGGTGGGGCCACAATGAGAGATCAGAGTTTTACATAGGAAAACATAGGGAAAATTTTTTTAAAAAATTTTCTGTTTAAGAACAACAAAGTCAGGATATGGAAGCATAGTGAGGTAGTGTAAATTTAAGCCCCCCCCCCCAAACACACACACTCACCGTTCATTACTGAACTGATTTCTGCTTCTTCCTAGCCAATGTGCTCAGGTGAGCGATGTGTTGTAGTCATTAGCGCAGATGTTGATGTAAGATAAGTAATATGTAGAACATTTCAGATATTTAATATTTAATGTAATTGTACAATAAATTCATGTTTGTTGCTGTCATCTACATTAATATGTATTTTATTTTTAATTGACTTTTTCATAATAAATCAAAATTTAAGACTATGAGTTCCAAAAATATTTTAATGAAGAATCGGCGGTCACACTAAGGAATACACCTTATATTATGTGTTTCAATGGCGGTAAAAATGCCCGAGAAACAAATGAACATAGCATTTTAATGTATATGTTAGTGGGTAGCAACAAAGACAAAATTTACGTTGCACAAGTACATATATTAATTATAATAATCAAAGGGGTTGCTTTCTCGTCCATGGCACCTGCACCTGCGTCTGTATTTTCAGGTATTTCCTCTGCTCTCAATTTGTTTTGTTTAGTAGGTCTTTAGAGCACGATTTCTGTTCGATACCTTTACATTTTATTGCAGATACTCACTCTTGATACTGTAGTACATGATCTTGATGAATTTATGCTTGGAGGGAGTCAAGACTGCTTATTGTAGCGTATTAATTTAGGCAGATTTTTTTTTGTATGCACATTTTAAAATGTAGTTGGTTTGAGGTCAGTATGCTGTGAGACCTTTGGTTAAACGGGTTTTTAAATGCAATATTAAGATAATAAGTAGAAATTATGTTAAAAGAAACAATAAAAATTGTCAGCAGAGCAAGTACGAACCTATCAGAGATGGGATCAGGTACCAGAGATAAGTAAGCATCCCCTGTTGATGGGTCACGCCAACCGTTTTCTCATTTCCATGATCTGGAAAACGGTCTGTAGTCTGTTCAGTATGAAAATAATAGCCTTACATTTTGTATGAAAGGCGTTAGACAACTTTCCATCTAACGGCAAAATGTATTTGAAAGCAAGGTCATTGTATCGACCATAGAATTTGCTAAATTATGACTTTAAACGCGCAGCTAGGTTAAGGACTCCCATTATCTACGTCAGCCTATGCAGAGTTTTGGGAGAGCTATTATGACGTCACGTTAAAACAATACAACTGAATCTCGATGAATAAATACAATAATGTTCTTTTTAAAACACACGAAATACTTTCGTTTCTCATAAATGTTATAAAAATAAATCGAAGTGCAACTTATCTTGCCATAATAGCACTTGGCGTATGCAGAATGAAAGCCAGCTTGATCTCGCTGTACTTACTGAGATGACGTCATTTCTTAGTTTGACACGCAGTTTCTCTGTATTTGAGGCGTGGATAAAACTTTTATCGTGGCTTGTAAAAATGAAAATAAATACGAAACATGCGTAGTCTGAGAAAAAGAGAGACATATTCTGAAATATATTAATCCATATTTTATTGTCAAACTAAATTGATAATGTGTAGACTTTATATATAGCCGTAGGGAGCACATTTGTACAGTAACGTGCTAGAATGAGGGGTCCAGCCCCTCGAAAATATCAAAAGTTCAACGATATCCGTTTCACTATAAATTCTGAATTTTTTTAAACACGTGTAGCCATTATTCCTACTATTCTGAAAAGTGCTGGGAGCTGGTTGTACATCGTTTATTTATTCCGTAATCTAACATTATTCCAATGCGTATTACATTTTTGTCTGGAGTTTATAGAAAGACGGCTAAATTTTAAACAATTCTTAAGCATGAGGAAGTTGCTCCCAGCACTTTTCGGGTTAAGGAATTTGTCTCAAAGAAAACAAAATAAATTTTATAGCAGAAGAATGCCCGTATATCGTTGAACTTTTACGATCTTTGTAGTAGTACATATATGGTCCAATTTTAAACCTGTCACGTGACAAACAGCTGATGTAAGCGATGTCACTTTGGCCGAACTCAGCAGAGACCCGATATATACAAATGCAATCACCACAATTCACATTTATCAAAACTACTGCTGTTAAAAAAATATTAAAATTGTATTCATTTTCCCTGAATATATAAAGGCGTATATTTCATGGGCGTCCTTAACCTAGCTGCGCGAGTTTGAACTTATCTTTCTTGGTCGTTCAAAGAACATGTTCTTGTGTACTGAATCAATGGTGAGACATAAACCCCATACTTTTATGATAAACTCTTGAATCATAATCTAAATACATAACAAAAATTAGGATGCTGTGCCTACTTGCATGTAACTTTCGCTCTTTCTTGACATATAAAACAATAATAAGTTTTACATAGAAGGACTTTTGTCAAGCTGAGGTGACTTTTGCTTGGCTATACCTCTGAAACCAAAACGAGAATTATATAAAGCCCATGAGCTACAATGCTCATCTGAGTCACCATGGCCTTGCTGTTATGAAGATCTAAAACAAATCACCTTTTCCCATGAATAATTTTGACACCATGTTGTGGCCAAACCTTTGTCCCGAGTTATTTCATACTCGCTTATAACTCCGAGGCTCATAATTTGAAAATACGCTTGAATTCACACAACTTTGTAGTATTTGCATATTAATCTTGTTTAGTAAAATAAGGCCCTAGGACTATTGAAAAAATGTGTATACATTAATTCCTTTTGCATTCACATATAAAAAATAAATTTTAGTCAATCTTGCCTTGAGAAACTGTGATTTGAAAAAAAAAAAACGTAGATCTGCACTACT